CCGTTACCTCTCTAGCTCCTGATCCTCTTCCATCGCAGGGGCGGGTTCCGGGCTCCTCAGGTGGTGCTGGCGGACCCGAGGCTCTGCCCCATATCAGAAACGTGCAGGTGAAACAGGCAGGAAGGAAGGACCAACGGAAGCAGCAGAGACGGAAGGAGAGAGGAGGAGCCGCTTCGGCGCGGCCGGGCCCGGCCTCTGGGCGGGGCTTAGAGGCTCCGGCTCCGCCCCGGCGCGAGGAGGGCGGTGACGCGAGGCCCGCCCTGCTCACCTGGCGCTCCCGCCGCAGCTGCTTGCAGAGCCGCTGGGGCGGAGAGGTGGGGTCCGGCGAAGGCCCCCTCCCGAGTCCTGAGACTGGAGTGTGTACGCCCGCCCTCAGCCCTGGGCACCTTCCTCCAGGTGAGGGCGAAGGGGGCGGGGCCTTACCTGCCGCCCCCTAATCACCTTTCTCATACCTCTTTCTTTCTTGCTGCTAAACGCCTGGGGCATAGTGTTGCTCACTGCTGGCCGTCCCGGAGACCCCACCCTCAGAGGACGACCCTAGAAACAGCGGATGTTGAAGTCTCTATAGATCGTGCCAAGTTTATCAGTATACTTTTTTTTTTAAGAACGAGGATAATGTGCGAAGAGACGAATTTCACAACTAACTACAGTGGTGTGAGATAGTAGTTGCCCTGTTGGGGATTTTGCACATCGTCTCAAATGGATCAAAGGACAAGCGCTTGCCTGTATCTTTTGGGGGACGAGTGACAGTTTGCAAAAACATTGGTTTGCTCCCGTCCATTCTTTCCTAGGGTCTTTTCTACTCCTTAAATACATCCATCCCCGCTTTGGGCCTCTTTTTCCTCATATCCTTTTGGCTTCTGAAACTCCTCACCTGCGGAACCTCCCACTCCCTGCCCCCGCCTCGGCAACCTTTCACCACCCGGAATTGCTCTCCCCCCGCCTTCTGCCTTCGTCTCTCCATCCCCGCAGGTGCTCTTCTTCGCCAATAACTCAGCCTCACTGCCCACTCTTCGGTTCCCAGCACCTCCCTTGCCCCGGGTCAACCCCTGCCCCTACCCAGCTGTCTTCTCTCAGCACACCTACATTTCTTCTTGCCTGCGCCACCTGTCCTCCTTGTCTCCCTCCAGGTTCCACTATATTTTCATCCCTCCCCCATCTATTTCATCCTCCTCGCGGAGCTCTGGCGTCGGGGGCTCGGGCTGAGACACTTCTGGAGCGGGTTTTCCAGCAGGAAAATCAGGCAAGCGGCGGGGACAGCCCAGAAGGAGTGGGGGAGGGACAGCAGCAAGCGGGCTCACTCTAACCCGTGAGTGACGGCCCCGTCCTGACCCGCCCCCGGCACCCTCGGATAGGTTGACCCGCCGTCTGGCCCGCCCCTTCCCCGCCCTGTGAGGCCGCGGATTGGCTCAGGTGCTTGTCTCCTTGGGTGGCTCGGCCCCGGCGCTCGCCCCCGGGAAGGCAGCAGGGGCGGTTGAGAAGTGAAGTCTTGGCCAGAGTTTGGTTCTTGCCAGGAAATCCGCGGCGGCGACGGCTGGAGGCGGCGGCCACGGTGGCGATTCCTGGCGAAGCGGAGCCAGGTTCGCTTCCTGCTCCTTCGGCGGGCCGCGGAGAGCGGGAGCCGGCGTGAGGTTGAGGCGCCGAGAATCGTGCGCGCGGGGCAGCCGCGCTCTCCCAGTGAGTAACTTTGCCCGCCGCCGCCTTCGCTCGCTCAGGTGCCGGCGCGCTCGGGGCGGGCGGGAGGGCTCATGAAGGCAGTCTTCCGAGCGGCCCGCACGGGGGAGCGGCGCCAGCCTCCCGAGCGGCGCGCCCCTCGCCGGCGGCGCACGAGCCGCCTCGCGGCCGCGTTCTCCACGAATCTCCTCTGTTGCCCGCCGGGCAGCTGAGGGGACGTGGGCCGCACTTCCCGGCCCCTCGCGCGGACCCGGCGTGTGGGCCGACCGCGCTCGTCCGGGCAGGAAGCTCGGCTTCCCCGGGCCGGTGCCGGCCGCGGAGCGGGCGCTGGGAGCGATGGGCGTCTTCAGGCTGGTCCCCTTGGGTGATTTCGGCCGCTGCGTTGCTGATCTTTGCGTCTTTTGCGTTTTTCGGGAGGGGCGAGGTGTGGGTGAGTTTTTTTATTTCCTGGGTGTGTTGCTTTCACATCTGATCTGTTCTCCTGGCAAGGGCTGGGGGAGAGCTGGGACCCCCTGCCCCAGCCTGTTGCCAGTTCTCACATCTTTCCCTTTAGGCTGCAGGGAGTGGGAGAGCGATTTGCCATCCTCGAGGTGGGAATTTCAAAATACGGATCTTGACTTGGAAGCAGTGGCCCAGAAAACACGATTCAGGAAACACGCTACTCATTTTTCAAAGCTTTCTGTCACGTTTTAAACCAAGGACTTTTGACTTCTGTGTGGCATTTTTGTGGTACTTCAGTTTGCATTGAAGGTGATGCTTCCAGATGTTCACATCTGGCAGAAGCTAAAGTCAACTCATGCACGGTCTTAACTGTATAGGTTTTTCTTTTTTAATCCCAGAGATCAGAAACGAAGTGGAGTGAGATGCATTGACTGTTCAGCGGGAGGAAACAGCTGTGAACCACAGTTTCTGGGATCTGCCCTCACTTTAAGACTTCCATCTCCTTGCGGCAATAGTACTTCTTGTAAATTGGCCTTCGTCCCAGGACAGATTTTGATATTTCTTTTGCATGTACTGTGACGCAGCGCTGTTGGAGCCGGATCTCAGTAGATCCATCTTATTTATTTTGGTAGATTCGGTTCCCTCTCCTCCCCTCCCTTCCTCCTCTTTGAAAAGGTACTTTGGCAGGTAAGGAAGGAAGAGAAGACTCGATATCTTTTTCGGTCTGTTAGAGCTTTGTGGAGCCGTGAATACAAGGTTTTCCCTCTTTAGTTGGTCCAAGTCACGCATGTGAGATTTCCCACAGGGGTAAAATGCAGGCCAGATGAGAACCGGAGTAGAAAACACTGTTGGTAATTCAGCCCACGGTGGTGCTAGTATTCCTGATTTTGCATCTTGTTCCTCTTCTTTGCTTGGCAAGTTAGAAATTTTTAGTTAGTAATTTGGTTTGCAAGGAACAGTGTGCCTTCTGCATGCCAGGCATTGATAGCTGGGGATAGTGTTGCTCTGGGGTTGCTCGAAGTCTCATTTGGAAGCTAACACAGACAACTTGTTGTTGTTATGTGCTGTTGAGTCATCATAGCGACCCCTCCTTGGGTTGCTGAGGCAGTATCACTATGGAAGTAGATTGCCCCATCTTCTTTCTGAGGAGTGGCTGGTGGGTTTGAACTGCCAACCTCCTGGTTAGCAGTCAAGTGCCTTAGCCACTATGCTACCAGAGCTCCCAGACCACTAGTCTCCACAAACCAAATCAAATTCACTGCCATGGAGTTGACTCTGACTCATAGTGACCCCCACATTGAGTTTCTGAGGCTGTGAATCCTTACAGAAGCCAACCACCCCATCTTTCTTCCATGGAGTTGCAGCTGGTGGGTTTGAACCATGAACCTTTTGGTTAGCAGCCAAATACCTTAACCGTTACACCACCAGAGCTCCTTAGTCTCCCAGCCATCTGAAATTAATTTGAACAAAGTGCTGCAGGAACTTCCAGGAGGGAGCAGATTGTGTCTGGAGTTTGTTAGGGAAGGCCTCCCATGGGCAGCATTTTGCCAGCCATATTCTAGGCAGAGGGACTAACAGGTAGGCCACTTGCAAATACATGTATCTTTGGGGTGTTGCTTTACTAGGTCTGCGTCTGGTTAGTCTGGCTGAAGGACACAGTGGCTGCGTGTGGACTGGACGTCCCTGGCTGGTGTGTTACTCCTTAGCACTTGACCTTGCTCACAGTGGGCAAATACTTTCTCAACTGATGTGAACAGAAACATGAAGGATTTTGTAAACCACGGTAAGAAGGTTGGGCTCAATCCAGTCAGTGGTACAGGGCTGTTAACATTGAGCGCGTCAGGATAACATTTGCATTCCCAGAAAGAACTCTCCTGCAGTCTGGAGGATAGTGGGGGTCCGGATGGGACTTAAGAAGACAGAGTAGGAGGGTGTTATACTGGGGAAGGTTCTAGCCTCAGATCCCCCCAGTCTGGAGACTTTGATGGCCTGGATTTGAATCTGGTTCTATTGCTAACCATGTAGCCTCTTTGTTACACGGTTGTCTCCATCCCCTAGGACTTGGGGGAATAAAACTTGATCAAACATGTACATTACCTAGACTTCTGTTTAGCACGCAGTAAAGCACTTAGTAAATGCTAGTCATTCTGCATGAAGACAGTGGGAGTGGCCTTTCGAGGTCCGGTTGACTAGACTTGGTAAGAGACTTGTGACGATTAATGAGAAGGCTAATTCCTGGGTTTTGTGTCTTGAGGCGTTGGAGTGTACTGGTTAAGCTGGCTGCAGAATGAGAACAGGGTTTGAATTCGATTTCAGCAACTTATTACCAGAATTGCTATCCTGACCGACCTTTGGTTTCCAAACAGTTAGGAAATGAGCCTGGTGCCTGACTGTTAGGGTTTGAGGATCCAATGAAATCACCCATGTAATGCTCTTGGCGGAGTGCCTGGCATGCTCTGAGTGCTCCATAAATATTAGTTGTTCTTTTGGTGGTGACGACATTAATAAGCTAGTGGGACACTGGAGAATATGAAACCCAAAACACCAAAACCACTGCCATCAAGTCGATTCCAACTCAGCAACCCGTATAGGTTTTCCAGAAGCAGATGGCCTTATCTTCCTTCCGTGCAGTGGGTAGTGGATTTGAACTACTGACCTTTGGGCTAGCAGCCAAATGTCTTAAACCACTGCATCACCTGAGCTCTTTTACAAAAGAATAAGGAAAAAAAAATTACGCACAGACTTTGTGGGTGGGGTAAACTTTACTGAAGATTTGGGGGAAGAAGAGGGGTTTATGCTGTAACATGGCCAGTGTTGATTACTGGGAATTAGGCATCTGGTGGCACAGTGCCTAAGGCATCTGACTGCAAACCAGAAGGTTGGTGGTTCCAACCCACCAGCCACTCCACGGAAGGAAG